TTTTTTTTTTTTTTTTTTTTTTGATCCAGAGTCTCACTCTCGCCCAGGCTGGAGTTCAGTGGCGCTATCTCGGGCTCACCGCAAGCTCTCGCCCAGGCTGGAGTTCAGTGGCGCTATCTCGGGCTCACCGCAAGCTCCGCCTCCCAGGTTCATACCATTCTCCTGCTTCAGCCTCTCAAGTAGCTGGGACTACAGGCGCCTGCCACCACACCCGGCTAATTTTTTTTTGTATTTTTAGTAGAGATGGGGTTTCACTGTGTTAGCCAGGATGGTCTGGATCTCCTGACCTCGTGATCCGCCCGCCTCGGCCTCCTAAAGTGCTGGGATTACAGATGTGAGCCACCGCACCCGGCCTGAGACATGTTTTAAAGACTGACTTTTGTTTCTTTTCCAGATATAAATTTAGAAGTTGAGAAGTATATTTTGAAAAGGCATAAGAAAAACTATGGTATATCATTATTTTAACTTGCTATATGAAAACCTAAAGCACAGGCTTTTGTTTCTTTTCTAGATATAAATTTAGAAGTTGAGAAGTGTATTTTGAAAAGGTGTAATAAGAAAAACTATGGTATATCATTATTTTAACTTGCCATATGAAAACTTAAGGCACAGGGAGGTAACTTGCCCAGAGGCGCAGCCCTAGGTAGTGGGGGAGCTAGGATTCACTGTCAGCTGACTGACTCCAAATTCAGCACTCCTGACCGCGACTGACAGCTCAGTAGTGAGTTTTCCCCAGCGCTGCATTTGTTCAATGTAAAGAATTGTTAAGGAAGACTTTTCGTGACTCATGCCGGTAATCCCAGCACTTTGGGAGGCTGAGGCGGGTGGATCAGTGAGGTCAGGAGTTTTGAGACCAGCCTGGCCAACATGTTGAAACCCCATCTCTACTAAAAATACAAAAATTAGCCGGGCGTGGTAGTGGGCACCTGTAATCCCAGCTATTCGGGAGGCTGAGGCAGGGGAATCGCTTGAACCCAGGAGGCGGAGGTTGCAGTGAGCTGAGATCATGCCCCTGCACTCCAGCCTGGGTGACAGAGCAAGACTCCGTCTCAAAAAAAAAAAAAAAAAAGACGTTTTTATGAAATTATATTAGAGAATAGTTGTGTTTTAAATCTTTATTTGGCAAAATACAAAATTTGCCGCCTTTGCCCCTCATTTTTTTTGTTGGTCCATAAAACCCAAGTTATACCTTTTTATTTTATAGGTGAAGAAACTCAGCCATTGAGATGAAACAGTTTGCCCAAGGTCACATGTTTTCATCCAGGCACTGAACGTCTTCCACTGGTTTTATTAGACTTTGGAAAGTGGACAAGATTTGATAAGAGGAAGGAGCACTGGGAAAGCTTTTTGTCCGTGGTTTCTGTGTTAGACTGTAGGACTGTAGTGCCTGGCTCCTCCGGCACGAGCCTCTGAATGTTAGCCAAACACACATTTGATCCAGTAGTTCCGAAGACTTGAATGGCTTGATGAATTTCAACATTTATAAGGAATATTCTTCTGTGAATGTCACTGCTAATTATTCATAGTGTATTGTATTTCAGAGATTTTTTTTTTTCCCACATATTAAACTGAAACCCAGAATCTTTTACACATTCATAGTTTCAGAGCCAAAGCAAATCATCTAGTTGGCCAACCCCGGTTCTTCACACTCGCTCAGTGTACTTACAACCTCAGTTTCACACACGATAGGCTGGTACATTTTATTATATGTCACTTATTTTTGTTTTAGGTTAGAGCCACAGCTGAAACAACTACAAACAAAATATGATGAACTTAAAGAGAGAAAGTCTTCCCTTAGGAATGCAGCATATTTCTTATCTAATTTAAAACAGCTTTATCAGGATTATTCGGATGTTCAAGCAAAAGAACCAAACATAAAGGAAACGGTAATTCCAATTTTACTTTTTACCATGCTTCAGAAGATGATTGCGGGAGGGCATTTTCATGCTAGAGTATCAGAAGCTTTGGGGAAAGACAAATGCAGAGACAGAATTACAGAGCCCACCTAAAATAGTACCGCTGTAAGCCAGTGAAACTTCATTATATCAGCACTTTTCTTAGCTACTTAATGAAGGCTGGAGGAGTAATGTCCAGAATTGCTGATTCGTGTAAGATATTTTCACTCGGACAGCTGAATTTCATCAAGGGAAGTTTATATTCTGTGTATAAATCTCAACTGAAAAATCACACTCTGCTGTATTATAATTTTCATTCATATAAGACCACTCAGCCATGTTTGAAAGACCAACCTTTTCTGTTTTGTCTAGCCCATGTTCACAGCGTCTTTTACATATGAAAAACAAGCTATTTTTCCATGTAAGTGGTAGGTATGATTTTAGAAGCTAAGAAACAGGCCGGGTGTGATGGCTCTCACTTGTAATCATAGCACTTTGGGAGGCTCAGGCAGGTAGATCCCTTGAGCCCAGAAGTTCAAGACCAGCCTTGGGCGATATGGTGAAACCCTCTCTCTACTAAAATACAAAAACTAGCCAGGTGTGGTGGTGCGTGCCTGTAGTCCCAGCTACTCAGGAGGCCGAGGTGGGAAGATCACTTGAGCCCTGGAGGTCCAGGCTGCACTGAGCTGTGATCGCACCACTGCACTCCAGCCTGGGTGACAGAGCAAGACCTTGTCTCAAAAAAAAAAAAAAAAGTTAAGAAACATTAAAAGGGAATATAATGGGAAAACATATTTATTGTTTTAATATGTTTTGTAGTTGCTTCTGGATTTTCACTGCAGACTTTGCTACTGTTACGCCATCTGCCTCAGATTAATAGAAATGTTTAAGCTCTAGGGAAAAAATTTGTATACCCTAATATAATTTATATAAAATATGTATAATTATATGTAATATATACATATTTTATGATCAGATTTGTATTCTTCACTTCTAAATTCAATGTTAAGGTTTTGACACTGATCTAAGTTAATTTTCCTGAGCCTAAGATTTGTTTACATATTAGAGATCTGGAAATAGAATGCTTTTAAAGGTATTTTTAAAAATTACCTAACTAGTCCAAAGCTTATGATTTGGAGTTTGGTTACTAAATTTGGGGAAGTTACCTGTAGCATTGATTCAGCTTGAACATAATACTTTAGTTAAAAGCGAGGTTTAGTGTCTCTGCCTTGTCTGGAAAACACCACTGGATGAGCATCCTGTTCTTGACATGACCTCAGTGCCTTCTTGCACTCCTTGTAGTAACTGTCACTTTTGCCTTATTGAGTGTAGATATTTGGGCATATGTCTTACTCTAAACATTTAGTGACAAATGTAACTTCTTCCCCTTTATCCCTCCCTAGAGCAGGTGCCCATGGGAGCTTGAACACATTAGTTTGTCAAATATTTGTATAAAATTTCATTATCATGTGTGGTAGTCACAGCATGACAGCTTTTCTGCTGTCATCTTGAAAACATGATATTAAACAGCAAACTATCAAAGTATGATACAATTCTGTAAGGGGAATTTAATCATGCACCCTTAGATACAATTTGCAACTGGAATTTTGACTTTGTTAATTATTTCAAAATCGGGGCTGGGCATGGTGGCTCACGCCTGTAATCCCAGCACTTTGGGAGGCTGAGGCGGGTGGATCACAAGGTCAGGAGTTCAAGACCAGCCTGGCCAACATGGTGAAACCTCGTCTCTACTAAAAAATTAAAAAAAAGCCGGGCCTGGTGGCGGGCGCCTGTAATCCCAGCTACCCGGGAGGCTGAGGCAGAGAATTGCTTGAACCCAGGAGGCGGAGATTGCAGTGAGCCAAGATCACGCCACTGTACTCTAGCCTGCTGACAGAGTAAGACTCCGTCTCAAAATGTTAATTATTTCAAAATCATGAGTTGGATGTTGTGTTTTATTTTATGTTGGGTTTGTGTTCTAATTTTAACTTTAATCATTAAGAACATTTGGATTGGCAACCTTTGAGACATTTAATTGATTCTCCCAATAATTTCTTGAGATGATAGATTTGGGGTTTTTTTTTTCTTAGGAACTTTTATGGATCTGGTGTCCTCATTCCATTAGTTCTTTAGTTAAAGTAAAACCTATCTTACAGTTTTCTGTGTTTTAAAATAGACATGATATCAAGCAGACCCTACACAGCACCAGCAGACTTGCCAAAACCAAGCCTTGACGTGTCCCCAGGCATGATTTCCTGTCTTCAATAATAGAGATGATACAGTTCTTTGAATCAACTGGTCTTCTGGGATAAGAAGATCAGTTCAAGCTTTGCAGAGCAGCTCCCTAGCAACTTTGTGATCAATTATGTTTTAAGGAAATGGATTAAAACCAGTTGTCTTAATGGTCCTAGTTAAAAACGAGAGGAGGAGTAGTTAATGGAAAGCTCAATCAAAATTTGCATTGGTCATAAGACTGGGCTACATAACGACAAGGTTGTAAGTTTTTGATATTGCTAATTATATAAGTTTTTTTCTTTCAACAGTATGATTCATCCAGCCTTCCAGCCCTGTTATTTAAAGCAAGAACACTTTTGGGAGCCGAAAGCCATCTGCGAAATATCAACCATCAGTTAGAGAAGCTCCTTGACCAGGAATGAGAAGAGCAATCTACTAAAATGTGCCCATAGGAAGACTAGTCTCATGCTGTTACCGTCTGAAACTGTACTTTTATAAATAAATTGTTTTGCAAAGAAGTTATGGCCTACTTGCCAGAATCTAAAATTTGTTATTCAAATTAAATGGCTGTGAACAATGTTAAATAGCATTAGTTTGTCCAATAGTTTTAGAGGCCATAATCATCTTTTCTGGTTAATATCTTGAGTAATTTAAAAATGTTGACACTTTAATCAGCCCCAGATATGAGCTGTAATAAACCTGTAAAATTAAGTTGATGTGAATGTAATTTTGATTAGTTAAGGCGATTTCTATTGAATTTAAGTACATCAAAGGTAATTTTTAATAAAATTGGTTCATAGAAGTAAAAAACAAAAATTGGAAAGCAAAGTGATAAAACTTATCAGGTTGAATGATATATTTATCAAATCTCACAGATATCAGGCAAATTATAGCCTGGTGACAAAAGTGTCCATAGTGAACTAGCTACTCTTGTAATACTTCTATAATTAGCTCATCAGGAATTTCATCTGCTTCATTGTTATAACTGAGAAGACTGTTCTCTGCAGCTTCAGCTAATTCAGCATCTTCAGTAGCTTCTAAAAAATAAGCATCATCAATGTCATTATCCCAGACAGCATCAGCAGATGCACCTGTTGACAGCTTGCTAAGTGATGGTTTATGAGGATTCTGGGTTTCATTGCTCCTAGTTTCATCTGCTTCATCTGTTGTCAACTCTTCTTCCTTTATTTCAGTGGGGAAGGGTGAGAGAGTGGGACAGGAAAATATTTACTCAGGATATGTGATTTAACCATATACTCTATGTTGAAGTAAGGTATTAAGTGACAGATACTAAAGTGAATATGCTGAAGGAATGCTGTCTCCGATATCGCACGGTGGGAATGAGTGCACTGATGCAAACATTGCTGCACCGAAGCTCAGACACACTTGAAACTCCAAATTTGAAATTACCTGCAGTGCTGTGACACATACTTTTCAATATTCCCCAATGGAGGAAGAGCAAGAGTAGATTTAATTTTTTAACAAGTGGACAGTCCAGCTGAAGACAAATCAAGATAAATTTGCTACCTTTACAATGGACTTACTACCCATGCTCTAAATTTTAAAGTATTTAGAAAATTATAAACATGGATTGAAAAAAGATTAAAAACAGTTGCCAAAATATGACTGGATTGTATATTACATAATAGTATTGTATCAATTATTTTACCATAGAATGTCGTCAGTATAGACATTTAGTTGATCCTCTCAAAAAATTATTTATGTAAAGAATGTCCTTATTCAGTGCAGTGGCACGTGCCTGTAATCCCAGCTACTTGGGAGGCTAAGACAGGACGACTGCTTGAGGCCAGGAGTTTGAGACCAGCCCGGACAACATGATACCCTCCTCTCATTAAAAAATCTACAGAAGGTCTTATTCAGCTACGTGCTTAAATATTAGGAGATGAAGGGTTTTGATGTCTGCAGTTTGAGTCATCAAAAATAAGAATGCATATGTATATACAGTAGAAGGAGAAAACGAATGTTGCCAAATGTTAACAAATGGCAAATCTCAATGAAGGACAGACAGCAGAGTTCCTTATTCTTGTACATTTCTGTAGGTCAGACCTTTATATTAAATTTAAAATCAGGTCACCAATGAAATAAAATGCTCAGTGCAATAGAAAAGCAGGTATAAATAAAACCAACTGGTAATTTAGTTTAAAATATTTTTTTAAAAACCAGATGAAGCACGAGGCAAAATGTTAACTGAAAACCAAGTGATAGGTACATGGGTGTTCATTATATATCTTTTATTATTTTAAACAGTTATGTCCAAGTAGTAATACTGTACCCCAATGGTACTTTCAACTTGGCATTTTTGACACGTTACTGGATAAGCGGAAAAAGCTTAAAAATCCACTGCAACCACAACTATCTAAATCACAATCCAGACCAACAAGGATGATACAATCCTCCTCCTCTGGGAGACAGTTTGTTTTTTAAAATTTACTTTGCTCTTATTTCAACACACATTTTAACCTGGTATTTTGCCAGAGAATTTGGCTATCAGTTATTTTATGTCCAGCTCTTGCAGACCAAGAATGGAATTTCCACCATTTCAAACGGATGGAGTTTTTTTCGATGGACATGGGTTACAACTTGAGGAGATACCAGACTGAATTTTCTAGACTATAAACCCAATCACTTGTTGTGCTTGTAGCAGGTAACTTTATTCTAACCATGACACTATAAAGGAAAAAGCTGATAGATGTGACCAAAAAAAACAAAAACACAAACTAAAACCTAAAAGTAAAAGAAATATGTCAAAAAGAGTACTTAAGTTATTGCAAAAAAGTTACAGAAAAATGGATAGAGGACAGGTACACGCACTTCATTACAGAAATACTAATAGTGAATCTGAAAAAAGTTCATTAAAGAAATGCATATTAAAACAACTGAGGTACTGCATTTTTGCCTACCAGATGAGTAGTGATTCGAGGTAAACAAGCACTGTTGGCAAAGTGTGAGGTAATAGGTGCTCTCAAATTATTTGTGGAGGTCTAATATCCTATACTTTGCATGGAGAGCAATTTGTGCCACTGAAGATATTTGTGATACTTCAAGTAGAAAAAAAACTGAAATAGTATGTGTGCTATCACAATGAACACATAAATTCTCGAAGGTACATGCCAAAACAGTTGTATCATTTATCTCTGGTCAAATGAGTGAGGAAGATTCCTCTTTTGCTTTTTGTGTATTTCCTAATTTTATGGTTTTTGGTTTTTTTTTTTTTTCTTTTTTGAGGCAGTCTCACTCTTGTCTGCCAGGCTGGAGTGTAGTGGCATGATATCAGCTCACTGCAACCTCCGCCTACCGGGTTCAAGGGATTCTCCTGCCTCGGGCTCCTGAGTAGCTGGGATTATAGGCATGGGTCACCACACCTGGCTAATTTTTGTATTGTTAGTAGAGATGGGGTTTCTCCATGTTGGCCAGGCTGGTCTCAAACTCATGACCTCAAGTGATCCGCCTGCCTCGGCCTCTTAAAGTGCTGGGATTACAGGCCTGAGCCACCGTGCCTGACCTAATTTTATGTATTTTCATTTCATTCTACAATGCATGTTAATTATTTGGGTAAATAAAAATCTTTAAGAGAAAAATGTTGGTTTGACAATCTGGTAATACCTGCCAAAATTAAAACTGAATATGCCCTTTGACACAATTCTACTTCTAGAAATTCATCCTACAGATACAAATGTTCAAAGAAACACAAAGATGGGTATTTTGTTACTTCGAAAAGCAAAATATGGGAAACTTCTTAAATGCCTGGGACTGATGAAATTGTACACCTTCTCAAGCAGCAGTGAAAAACAAGGTGTGTATTAGGTATGTGCTGAAATGGGAAAATCACTACAATATATTCCTACAATACAGTCATAAGTGAAAACAAGGTACCAAATGGGTTTCAAAGCTATTTGGACACTCATGGCTCAGGTATACTATTGTACCAATAACTCCCTGGTAAGGAGAAAGACTAAAATCTGTACTTACCTCTTTGAAAAGAAACAGGAGACATACTTCAGCAGGCAATGGGAAACCTGAATCAGAAAGACAGCAAAACTATTACATATTATGGCTATCGAATTTTTACTTTGTGGTAAATGTAAAAATTAGTAACTCACAGTCAGATTTGAAGTTTTCTGCTTTACATACAGGGTCATGACATTTTTGATACCAAACTTCATTTTTCAGATCAACCAGAATCCTTTATGTTTAAAAAAAAAAAAAAAGTAATATTAATACCCAGACTGGGTAGAAAACAAAATCCAGCTGCATGCTGTTCCAAAAAAAATTCCTAAAACTTACAAAGATGGAGAAACATTAAAAAGTGAAAGGATAAAAATAGATATCAACCAAAACAGTGGTTGCCAAAAATCACACAAAATGAACTGCAGGGCAAAAAGTAGATACAAAAGTTCCCCCAGGAAGATACAACAATTCTCAACCTGTATTCACCAAATAATACAGCTGCATCTTTGTAGAGCTGGGTTTTGGGGTGTGGTTATAATAAAAAGCACCATTAACATCAGGCCAGGCGCCGTGGCTCACACCTGTAATTCCAGCACTTTGGGAGGCCAAGGTGGGTGGATCACAAGGTCAGGAGTTTGAGACCTGCCTCGCCAACATGGTGAAACCCCATCTCTAATAAAAATACAAAAAAAATTAGCCGGGCATGGTGGCGGGCACCAGTAATCCCAGCTACTCAGGGGGCTGAGGCAGGAGAATTGCTTGAACCCGGGAGGCAGAGGTTGCAGTGAGCCAAGATCGCGCCATTGCACTCCAGCCTGGGTGACAGAGCAAGGCTCCGTCTCAAAAAAGCACCATTATTACATCAACGGAGAACAAGGTATGAGTTAGGGAGGCCGGTGTCTAATCTGATTCCAAAGTTTAAGAGTGCATACATAGGCCTGGCGAGGTGGTTCACACCTGTAATCCCAGCATTTTGGGAGGCTGAGGTGGGAGGATAGCTTGAGGGCAGGAATTCGAGGCCAACCTGGGCAACAGAGAGAGACCCCGTCTACAAAAAATTTAAAAATTAACCAGCCATGGTGGCACACCTGTAGTCTAAACTACTCGAGAGGCTGAAGCAGGAATATTGCTCAAGCCCAGGAGATGAAAGCTGCAGTGAGCCGTTGCACTCTGTCCTCAAGCCTGGGCCATGCCACTGCACTCAAGCCTGGGTGACAGGGTGAGACCCTGTCTCAAAAACATGAAAAAAAGGAGAGTATACATCCCATTAATAAGTAATAGTATTTAAGAATGAAATAAAAGTTTGGTTTTTTGTTTGTTTTAGTTTAATGGATACTATTATTCAAACTGCCACTAAACTGTTAGGACATAAACACTTACCAAGTTGTTTGAAATTCATTACCAGAGCTCAGGTATTTCTTTCGGCCTCAGAGAAAACGTGAAAAAGACACCAGGGGAACCATGAACCAAGAAAATCTGGGAACTTCTGGACCAAATGCTAGGCGTTCAGTCCTTACCTACACAATGCTCTTTGCGGGAGGTTTCTGGTTTTAGAATTGCATTGGTAAGTCAGTCTGGAATGGATGCATTACGAGGCACGCTTTCCGGAAATGTCACCCAGCTGTGCAACTGGAGTCTACAGTGCAGGTGAGTCATAACCTTGGCGCTTCCGCTGTGCGCAGGGTTGCGCACTTCTGCCTCGGGTTTCCGCGTGAGTCAGAAAGAGCAGATGCCCTGGGCCTTGCTCTGCCCCATTTGTGCCTTTTCATTCCTTGTATTCTGACATTATTAGTAAAGCTTGACACTGGGCAAGATTTCTGATGTGCGTGGATGTAATTTGATTATCCAGTCCTCAACTTCATTAATCAGGGAAATTCCCATGAAAACCACAATATTGTTTTATATTTGCCAGATGAGCAAAACCAATTTTTTAATGCTAACAATACAAAAGTGTTGGTGAGAACATGGAACAGTAGAAAATCTCAAAACACTGCTGGCAGGACTATAAACTGGCACATCCATTTGGGAAAACGATTTATGATCTAGTAAAATTAAACATGTACATATTCCATGACACAGCAAGTCCACTTTGAGAAAGTCTTGCACGTGTGTCCTAGGTGCTATGTACAAGAAGGTTCCCACCTTCATGGTTTATAATAGCAACCCAAATGTCCACTGTGGGAAAATAAACTGTGGCATATTTCTATTTACGTACATGGCATGCGGCACAACAATGACCCAAATAAACAACAGCCGCGCGCTGCAATGTGGGTGAGAATCACAGACATGCTGCCGCAAAGCGAGGGAAAGGATGCAGTTCAAAATTATGGCCGGGCGCGGCAGCTCACACCTGTAATCCCAGCACTTTGGGAGGCCGAGGCGGGCGGATCACCTGAGGTCGGGAGTTCGAGACCAGCCTGACCAACATGGAGAAACCTTGTCTCTACTAAAAATACAAAACATTAGCTGGGCATAGTGGTGCACGCCTGTAATCCCAGTTACTTGGGAGGCTGAGGCAGGAGAATTGCTTGAACCCGGGAGACAGAGGTTGCAGTGAGCCGAGATCGCATGATTATACCCCAGCCTGGGCAACAAGAGTGAAACTGTCTCAAAAAGAAAACAGTATATTGTTTAGAGATATGAACATACATGGAAAAATCATAAAAACAGGGAAAAGATGAACACAAATCGGGACACTGGCCACCATCTCTGAGGGCCAGGGTGAGAGGGAAATTGGGGTTGGGCCCACAGGTGCTTCTGAGGTTTGATCAGGTTCTGGTTCTTAAGGTGGGTGGCAGATACGACAGGTGGTCATTTTAGTCTTTAAAATGTGCTTATAAAAGTGTGTTATCGGCTGGGTGAGGTGGCTCACACCTGTAATCCCAGCACTTTGGGAGGCCAGGGCAGGCAGATCACTTGAGGTCAGGAGTTTGAGACCAGCCTGGCCAACGTGGTGAAACTCCGTCTCTACTAAAATTACAAAAAGTAACTGCGCGTGGTAGCACGCACTTGTAATCCCAGCTACTTGGGAGGCTGAGGCAGGAGAATCACTTGAACCAAGGAAGTGGAGGTTGCAGTGAGCTGAGATCACGCCACTGCACTCCAGCCTGGGCGACAGAGCGAGATTCTGTCTCAGAAAACAAAAAAAAGTGTGTTATCTATACTTTTGTACGTAAGATACATTTTACGGGTAAAAAATAGAATAGATCATGGAGACATAATACAAGGTGTTATGATCACCATGTGATAATGATTTTTTGGTAAGTTAATATGCGTACAAAAGAGAACAGAAGATACGTCAACTGATAGTTGTGGTTATGTCCCGACTATGGCACTGATCTCCTTCGTGTTTTCTGTGTTACAGCTTTGTGTACTGAGCCTACAGTTTTTGCAAGCTTTTTTAAAACTGAATTAATCTAAGTACATCAAGTATGGCACCGAACCATGCTACCCAATGTGTTTCCAGCTTCCCAGAAAGAGCGTCCCGATCCTTTCCCCACGTCCAGCACACAGGCCACATATGCTCGATGATACAGGAGTTGGTTTGACATGAAATAAAAAACAGCAAAATTTCTCACATCATAACTGGTAACTACTGGGTATCTATTCATCTCTATTCTAATCACATCCTTTTATGTTTTAAAGTCCTATTTCTGGCTTTACTTCATCCTTTACTTTCCCTCCTCTTCCCATGGGCATTTTAAAGAAAATCTCTCAAACAGGGCCTGGCATATATACCAAGCATTCAATAACTACTAGTTCCCTCAATACCACGCTGTGTCTTGAACAAGTTAACACAATCCTAGCTCCAGTTCTTCACAGTAACTGAGGAGATACCTTCTTGCCTAAACCTGCGCACTTTCAACGTAGAGTCCATAATGTGGCAAGGGCCAATGGCAACAGGAAGGAGAGGCACGCTTCCCATCCCCACTGCACCCCGCCCACAGCCTTCTCCCAGCCCTACTCAACCCCACCTTTGTCCTCTCCAGATATACTAAGCGGTTATTATCTTAGCAAATAAAGTACACATAAAGCTGATGTGCTAGAAGCAATGCAATAATTACACTGAAATTAAATATTATGTAATGCTAACCATATACAACAAATAGAAACTTAATACAACAGCCGGGCGCGGTGGCTCACGCCTGTAATTCCAGCACTTTGGGAGGCTGAGGCGGGTGGATCACAAGGTCAGGAGTTGGAGACCAGCCTGGCCAACATGGTAAAACCCCGTCTCTACTAAAAATACAAAAATTAGCTGGGCATGGTGGCAGGCGCCTGTAATCCCAGCTACTTAGGAGGGTGAGACAGGAGAATTGCTGGAACTCAGGAAGCAGAGGTTGCAGTGAGCCACAATCACACCACTGCACTCCAGCCTGGGCAACAGAGCAAGACTTCGTCTTGGAAAAAAAAAAAAGAAATTTAAAACAACTAAATTTATTTTTAAAACAAAATAGTTTTCATAGTCTCAACTTTATTTAAAAGTTATAAACATTTAAAATATAATATTGGTTAAATACATACAAATCATTAATATTACTTACATTATATTATTACTCTTATGGGCTCTTCCAATGTTTTCACACCACCGATATTTACAAATATCATAAACCAGTAATTCTTCTGGGAAAAAGTAGTTCCAACGCCGAATTCCTAAAATGCAAATAATGTTTCTAAAGGTACTATCACTCTATCATATAACAGTTAACAAAGGATGAGATTAACTTTACCTCCTTTAATGCCATCTTTATTCACCAAAGAAAGAACAAAACGATCAACTTCAGGATAGGGAGAGCACTGAAAACCTTCCATGGTTTCTACTGCAACAGAGAGAATGATTTATAAATTACAATCGCTGAAAGCTGAGAAGTTACATTTGATTAAATGCTGTTGAGTACAATTATGGGTTTTGCAATCTCCCGGCCTTCCCTCACTTTTTGCAATTTCAGTCAATTCATGTTTGTTATACTACAAGGAAGCAGGTAAAAGTCAAACCTCTCAATTAGGTCAAATGTTAACTAATTTCATGAAAAGCGCTTGAAATAATTTCAACTGCTGTCTTCATTTTGGCAAACAGAAAGGCAGCGCCTCACATCCGGAACAGGCCTAGCTCCATCAGCCAGGCCTTGGTGTTGCCACGCGCTAGCCTGGCACGCCTACCTCAGCCTGGGCATTGTCCTGTGAACACAGGCACTCACAGAACGTCAACAACAGATAAGGCCCCTGTGGTCATGAGGACTCAAGGAACAAAGATAACCCCTGGGTAATCATGTCCGAACATAGACAAAACAGGAACATCTTCCAAACCACAAAAATGACCAACACCCCTGATCTCAGCGAACATAAGCAACTGGTTTTTGTTTGTTCGTTTGTTTTTAACAAATTACACTGTTAATTTCTATTCTGGTTTCCCTTCAGTTAAGCTTTACTAAGAAAACCAGTCATAGAATTGTGCCTGACAACACCCAACGCAGAACAAACCCCAGGGTTCCTGGTGTGCTCCCTCCGCCCACCCATTCCAAGCCCAAATCCAATCCTCCCAGTCCTTTCCAACCCCTCTTCCCGAGATGCCCCACTTTACTGAGGTTCCCCGTGGTGTGTGCTGGCCATCGCTTCCCTGGCAATACACTCAGCTGACCTGCTACAGGTGTGTGCCCTGAGGCCTTTAGCTGGCAGGTACTGACAATCCAATTATATTTTCTAAAAAGCTACTGCAGTAATTTAGAATGACCTATTTTAAGTATCGTTTAATTTTTTTTTTTTTTTCTTGAGACGGAGTCTGGCTCTGTGGAGTGCAGTGGCGTGATCTCGGCTCACTACAACCTCCGCCTCCCGGGTTCAAGCAGTTCTCCTGCCTCAGTCTCCTGAATAGCTGGGACTACAGGCACCCGCCACCATGCCTGGCTAATTTTTGTACTTTTAGTAAAGATGGGGTTTCCCTACGTTGGTCAGGCTGGTCTCAAACTCCTGACTTCATGATCCGCCTGCTTTGGCCTCCCAAAGTGCTGGCATTACAGGCATGGGCCACCGAACCCAGCCAGTATAATTTTTTTTTTTTTTTTTTTTTTTGAGACGGAGTCTCGCTCTGTCGGCTCACTGCAAGCTCCGCCTCCAGGGTTCACACTATTCCCTGCCTCAGCCTCCGGAGTAGCTGGGACTACAGGTGCCCGCCACCGCGCCTGGCTGATTTTTTGTAATTTTAGTAGAGACAGGGTTTCACCGTGGTCTGGATCTCCTGACCTTGTGATCCAAGTTTGCTTTAAATGAAGTTTATGTTTCACTTACTAAAATGATATATATAATTGGAGAAATATTGGAAAACATATTAATGTGGAAATGTGAGATGTGGACTCTAAATCAATGTCTATAAATACATATGAAACAGAAGAAAATAAACATAAGAAAATGTTATCTATATTTTAAAGTAAGCTTGTAATCATACTATACACATAATTTTAGAGACTACTTTTTCTTTTAACATCACAAATGGGTGTTTTCCACATTATACAGGCTTCATAAATTTAAATTAAACAGCTAGAGGATTTCATAGTATATAACCAACTCACTTTTGCTGTACATTTAGATTGCTTTCATTTTTTCACTATTATAAATAACAACAATATACAAAAATATGTGTATAAAAATGTTTACTGGAGGGTTTATGTAAGAAATATTTGAAAAAAACGCTCTATGTTCTTCAATAGAGGAATGGGTAAGTTATGACAGAGCTGTACCATGAAAAACTACACAACCATTAAAAGACTGAGGAAGATCTCTCTACATATATTGGAAACATAGGAAAAGCTCTTCTAGGTTAAATAGAAAATGACTGCAGTATTTACCTGACTGATTGTGGACAGAAGGGTGAAAAAGAAATTTAAGTTTTCATTTTGTTATGCGTTTATTTTATACAAATAACTTACATTAGTGAATAATACTTTTTTTTTTTTTTTTTGAGATGGAGTCTCACCCTTGTTGCCCAGGCTGGAGTGCAGTGGCACGATCTCAGCTCACTGCAACCTCCACCTCCCAGGTTGAAGCGATTCTCTTGCCTCAGTCTCCCGAGTAGCTGGGATTACAGGCACCTGTCAACATGCCTGGGTAATTTTTATATTTTTACTGATTTCACCATGTTGGCCAGGCTATTCTCAAACTCCTGAACTCAGGTGATCCACCCACCTCGGCCTCCCAAAGTACTCGGATTAGAGCATGAGCCACCACGCCCAGCGAATACTTCTTAATAAACATCTTTTTCATACTTTTTGCATTTGAGATAGAAACCCTGAAGTAGATGAGTGAGTGATTGATTAACTGACTGGCTGAGACAGGGTGTGATTCTGCTGCCCAGGCTGGAGTGCAATGGCACCATTAAGACTCAGTGCAGCTTCAACCTCCTGGCCTCAAGAGATCCTCCTGCCTCAGCCTCCTGAGTGGCTGGGACGACAGGCATGCACTACAACTCCTGGCTAATTTTTGGATTTTTTTGTAGAGATAGGGTTTTGCTAAGTTGCTCAGGATTGTCTCTAACTCCTGGGCTCAAGTGATCCTCCTGCCTCAGTCTCCCAAAGTGCTGGAATTATAGGTGTGCCTGGCTAGAGGTAGTTTTTGAAAGATCAGTGATTATGAATACTTAACATTTAAGATTTTAAAGGCAAAACAGATTCTGTATCCTTACATTTTGATAGGAATTTTTTTTTTTAATTATCTGAAGTAGCTGGGTGCAGTGGCTTGTACCTGTAATCCCAGCATTTTGGGAGGCTGAGACAGACAGATCATTTGAGCCCAGGAGTTCGAGACCAGTCTGGGCAACATGGTGAAATCTCATCTCTACTAAAAACACAAAAATTAGCTGGGCGTGGTGGTGCACGCCTGTAGAACCAACTACCCTGGAAGCTGAGGCAGGAGGATGGCTTGAGCCTGGAAGGAGGAGGCTGCAGTGAGCCGAGATCGCACCACTGCACTCCAGCCTGGGTGACAAAGAGATGCTGTCTTAAAAAGAAAACAAACATCAAAAAAGTTACCTGAAGTGCCGATACTGTTAGAATATCCAACTCCTTTTTGTTTATTCTGAGACGGGTCACATGTCAGAATTCGTAAAGTATCTGAGAACCTGAAGAAGAAATAGGTAAAAGAAACAAAGCACCATTACACTGGAACTACAAGGCCTGGCTACAGAAAGGATGCTGAATTCCTAATAGTTCCTCATTAAAATCCTTTGTTCAGCAGATAATTGTTCTAGGACATTTATTCCACATTTGCCCACAAAACCACGAACCCTACACATATAAAAAATATGATTTGTCAATTAAAGAAAATAATTTTTTAAAGAGTAGGTTGGTGATTACTTATAATACTATCCTCAATTACAGAATGGATCAGGGACTCTAGGACTGCTGAAGCCCTGTGTCCATGGTTTCACATCTGTAGATTCAACCAACTGCAGATCAAAAGTATGTTTTTTAAAAAACAATAAAAATAGGCCAGACGCAGTGGCTCACGCCTATAATCCCAGGACTTTGGGAGGCTGAGATGGGCTGATCACTTGAGGTCAGGAGTTCGAGACCAGCCTAGCCAACATGGTGAAACCCACCTACTAAAACTACAAAAATTAGCCAGGTGTGGTGGCAGGCACCTGTAATTCCAGCTACATGGAAGGCTGAGGCAGGAGAACTGCTTGAACCTAGGAGGCAGAGGTTGCAGTGAGCTGAGATTGTATCATTGCACTCCAGCCTGGGTGACGGAGTGAGATTCCGTCTCAAAAAAATAAGTAAATAAGTGAAAATAAAAAATAAAAAAATAATAATAAAAATAACAATAAAAATAATACAAATTACAAACAATACAGTATAACAACTATATGGCATGCGTACTGTATCAGGTATAGGTAATCTAGCAGGATTTTTACAGTATTATATATAGAGGATGTGCTGTATCAGGTATAGGTGATCTAGCAGGATTTTTACAGTGTTATATATAGAGGATGTGCTGTATCAGGTATAGGTAATCTAGCAGGATTTTTACAGTATTATATATAGAGGATGTGCTGTATCAGGTATAGGTGATCTAGCAGGATTTTTTACAGTATTATATATAGAGGATGTGCTGTATCAGGTATAGGTGATCTAGCAGGATTTTTTACAGTATTATATATAGAGGATGTACTGTATCAGGTATAGGTGATCTAGCAGGGTTTTTACAGTATTATA